GTAGAAGATTCGTCGGGCAGAACATCTTCTCCCGTCGAGCACGGACCAACGATAGTTGGCAGGATCCTCATAACTATCCGACTCTCCCTCCTTTTTCCCCACAGTCGAGCATAACCCATCCAGCTCAGGAAGCTCCTCAGACCTCCCCCACGTTCTCAACATGTCCCCTACGCGGAGACATGTCATCAGATAACTCTTTGTGTCCTGATTATTCGGTCCTTCACCTCCCGGATAGCACATAACAATTACACTAGGGCGAAGACCACGTGCTGGTCTTCACGACGCCACATCAGCCCTAGCAGTTACCAACGTTGGACCTGGCAGCCCAGCCCAACGCATAGTAACCGTTGGTCCTGCGTTGGGGGCTCATTATAAATACTCTCTTCCATTAGAGGGTCAGGTAATAACACGAATCTATATGAAAAGAACAAGTCGGAAAACGACCGTGTTGCCATTTAACACAAAAAAATAGCCCAGGTGGAATGTTATTTAGGTTAGGTTTTATTGTGAAAAATAAAAGGTGAATAGAGGGTAAAATGATTTTATTTTGTATAAATTTATGTAAAAATAAATTCAACAACAAATTTTAATGTAAAAGTTATATTTAAATTTAAAAGTTAGTAAGTTAAATAGAATTAATTTTTGAAGATAAAATCAATTCTGAAGAATTAAACATCTCAGACTAATTTTAAAACCAATTCTACACGTTAATAATTGTTTTTAACTTTTTCAAAAATTAAATCAAACATACACTACGTTATTTATACTTATAGCCGACTAAACATGCTAATGGACCGCTGAGATGCTTTTTACCTCATCATACCTAACACTCCTTGTACCCCGACCCGATCGCTAAAAGGATGAGGAATTAAAACTTATATATGTTTTAAACGGATTTGGGTATTTCCTACTTGTAATTATTCTTGAAGTGAAATTAATTTTTTAATAAAAATATTTCATTTATTCAACATCAAATTACATGCAAATAATAAAGTAAAACAATTTCAAAAAAATTGAAACATATTGTACTTGTTAAAAAGTACATAATGCATGACACCCCTATGTTATTAGGGGTGTCTAGAAGCCTTAGTGATTTTTTATGGATTAGAGCTTGGTCATGGTGGTGAGAAATCCAATTTGACGGTGTTTTTGATATACGAAATGAGTTATCCTTTCTCATGCTAAAGATGAGATTTTTCTAAAGGCTTATGGGCCTAGAGTTAAGGAACTTCTAAGAAGTGGTAATTGATCCACCTTGACTAGGAGAGATATTGACTACTGATATTCTAGGGAATCATGGACATGACTTTGCACATGTAGTCATGGGCTGAATAAATATTATTGCCTGCATTTCTCCTCGGGTATATCCCTTGTTATGTGATGGTTATACTCTGGGCGACACGTCATATTGCAGGCACTGGTGAGGGACATATGCCACACAATTTGTGGGCCCTTGCAAATTTATCACTATACAGCCCCTCAAGCACAATGACTTGTGTAAGAGAAAATGGTTTAAGCTTATCATTTATGTTATGGACTAGCCTGGGGCTGGCCCACCGTCGGGCACGGTCCAACCCGGCTCCGCGTCGGGTAGGGCCCAACACAAAGACCCAAGTTTCCGTAACCGTTGGAGGTCATACCCTCCACATATTCCCCACACGTTCTCCACGTGCTCATCATGCGGGAACACGTCACCAGCTGAATCCACGTTCGTGAGAATAGGTCATCCACTTCCCAGAGATCGTGGGCAGCTGGTCCAGAACGAAGACCACGTGCGGGCCTTCCTTACTTCCACGTAGGATCTTAGCAGTCATCTGTTGTGTGCCTTGCGATACAGTCCACAGCAGATGACTGTTGGCCCAGCGTTGGTGGCACATTATAAATACTCTCCTTCATAGGAGGTTTAGGTATTCCGATTCATACTCACTTTCTGTACTTGCTCTATCTTTCACTCCCTTTCTCATTTTGGCATTAGAGTATCTTGCAGGTACACCTCCCTCCTCTTCTCCATCACCGGTGAACTTGGAACTCACGACGTGTTGTTGGCCGCTGGATATTCTTCTGATCCCGGTAAGATCAATTTCCTTCGGTTGAACTCTGTGATTAGGGGCGAGTCCCCTGGTTAGAGGCGACTCATATAGTTGGAGGCGAGTCCCTCATCTAGAGGAGGCTTTTTTAATTGGAGGTGTGTCCTTAAGTTAGAGGCGACTCCTTTAGTTGGAGGTGATTCCCTTAGTTGGAGGAGAGTCCCTCAGTTAGAGGTGACTTTTTTAGTTATAGGTGAGTCCCTTAGTTGGGGTGAGTCCCTTAGTTAGGAGTAGTCCCTCAGTTGAAGGTGCCTCCTTTAGTTGGAGGCGAGTCCCTCAGTTGAGTAACTAGTGTGTCATCTTGGGATGTAAACATAAATCAAATTATTTTAGAGACATCAAAACGTCAGTCAGTTACAAAATATTGATCGTTTAGTGGGGAAGAAGCATGCATGGTATTTAGTTCAACTCATGATTGTTTTCATGGGGAAAACTAGTATAAAGTCTTTCCTTACACGTGTCCTTAACGCGTGGAACCCCTTCTATTCTTGCAGAAGTTACTCTATTAAACAAGTATGTTACTTATGCCATTGGTTTTCCTTATAAAGGGCCCTGACATACTTTTTCAAGAAAATCTTTTCATCTTCCTTTCCTTTTCCATTTTGTTCAATTAGAGAGATCTTTTAGACGCGCGACTATTTCTGAGTCTAGATAGGAAAGAAGGAGATTATGGGGTTCTTCATTCTCTCAAAGATCCAAGCACTACAATTTTCTAGCCTCTTCCTACTCATAAAAAATTGATGGATAGGAAGAAAACCAAACATGTTCACCTTCGAGACATTGCGTCTTTATATTCAAGTTCTGACATGATCATGAGGTTCCATCAGGATATTGTATTTTTGAGTACCAGACACAAAAAAGATTAATCTTAGAGCCCTGTTGAGAAACGAAAAGATTCAACATGGTCACCATGGGCAGTTCATCCACTCCTTATTTTTACTTGCATTTTCCTGTCATTCGTGAGTTAGGTGTCCTATTTCCTTTTATGCCTTTTGAGGCATATTTTTTTGAGACACTCAATTTCAGCCCTTCTTATATCATGCCCAATGTGTGGCACCTTCTCTTCGATTTTGAGATCATCTGTTGTAATCTGGACGCCTCCCTCACTGTAGGGATATTACTTTCTTTCTATGGTATAAAATTCCTCCTTATATGTGACTGGATAACTTTACACACTTTCTCTAGTAAGCATTTGTTGGAACGTTATGCAGAATTGTATGAGGATTGGAAAAATAGATTTGTGTGGACCAGGGGCGAGTATGTCTTATCTTAGTTTTGATGAAGGAAAAATCATATCAATGAAGAAAGATCAAAGCAGAAAAAAATTGGAATCAAGTATCAAGATTGCATAAGCTTTGGAAATCAAAGGATTGAATCATGAAGATTAAGGTACAATTGCAATCCACGTGTATGTAAGCTTTAAGTGCTAAACATCTTTTCATCTAAACCATTCTATGTTTCTTAAACATTCATACATGATTTGTATTCAAAACACCATGAAACAATTGATTGTTAGGTTGGCTCATCCAAGCAAAAATTGAAAAACTTTGAAGTGTCAATCGATTGACCTAAGAGAAGCAATGATTGAGGGGGTCTAAATTTAACCCTACAATCGATTGAAGATATGAAGCAATTGATTGATAGTATGAAGATCAAATCAAATCATATCTTTTTGTGGATGTTTTAAAAAAAATCAAATATGATTGTTATCAAATCTAATATCCATTGGAGAATGGTCCAGAAGATGGATTGCTATTTAAAGAGACTCATTCTTCTCTTGAAGACACACAAAACAAACATTGAAGATTTAATGTGCTAGAGTTTATGTTCTTTTGAGTCTTTGTATTGTTGTTTGTTATAAATCTCTAAAGTAGTCTAAACTAAATATTCAAAGCATAAAGGTAGATTGTTTTGTTGAGTTACAATTCAACATTAATAATCTTTTGTAAGCATTGATCACTAGGGTTGTGATTAAGAGAAAGTGAGAAGTATTCTCATATTTAGGAGGAGCCCTAAATATAAAGACATATAATATTAGAAAGTAGGCATTGAATAAGAGTTGTTCATCTAAGACTATTGTACTAAAACTCTTGAGATTAGATTTTCTTTCTTGGTTTAGAAATTCCTAAGATGTAGGTGTAATTACATTAAATTGAATTACTAATTCTTGTATTCTTTATTGTTTTTTATATTAATTCCTTAGTACTTTTCAATCTATTTTAAACTAATGTACACGTTGTCTCAAATATCATGTCCAATCTCCGTCTCATAAAATGATGAATGATGTGTGTTATGGTTCCTACCTCAAATTTTGCATAGGAAGCTTTATATATAGGGAACAATTATGGAGCCCTCTGCTTTGTGACGTAAAATGTGGAGGGACCATCATATAACATCTAATGTATATCAGCAGTCCACGGATCAAGTTTCGGTTGAGGTAGCATTGTACCCTTAAAGCCCTTGTGGTATTGAAATGATATTGGACTTCCTCTTATTAGACATGTGGTTGGCATAAAACACAACTTTCTTTTTTACCATTTGATCAATTAATTTTACCCGGTCTAATAATCTGAAACTCGCCCTTTCAGCAAATTCAACATTTACTTGTGAATCAAATACAAAAATGAAGACAATTGTGATCACTCTCTACTGAAACTTGTTGCAGGATAACCGTTCATACTTGCATGATCGATACCCATAATGATTGGATCACATGAATTCCCCAATATCAGCATTATGTGCCTATAATTTACTGCTACACCTTTTTTACAGTAGATTACTTAGTTCTTTAATTTAAGTTTATGCATATGGACTAAAAAATCAATATAAATAGGTGTACTAGTTGTTATCTACAGTACAAAAAAGAACTCCTCCTCTCATTTCTCAACTCTCCCAACTATCTCCACCGCCGTGATGTCACCACCATCAGATGGAGTCCATGCTCCCCTCTTGACTGGCTGTAACTCGGCGGCTGGGTCTGGTTCGATTCCTGGTGCCGTACTCAATGTCGCCACGAGCATAGTTGGCTCTGGAATCATGTCAATCCCGGCGGTTCTTAACGTTCTCGGCGTTTTTCCCTCTTTCACCTTATTTCTAATCGTCGCCGTGCTAGCCGAAGTCTCCGTCGAGTTTCTCATGCGTTTTACACATGCCGGTGAAACGACGACGTACGCCGGCGTCATGAAGGAAGCTTTCGGATCCGCTGGAGCTTTTACCGCTAAAGTTTGTATCATAATCAACAACTTCGGGGCTTTAATTCTCTTCCTCATTATTATCGGTTAGAACTAATTTCATTTCTTTATTTTTTTTTCTTAATTACCACGTTACTATTTTAAGACAAAGATTAGTTCTCAGATTAGTATAAAAAAGTTTTTATTTTTTTTATTATTTTTTAAATAGGTACTGCAGGGAGTGATTCAAATAGTTCTCAGATTAGTATAAAAAAAGTAATTTTTTAATAGTGAATTTTTGCACTTGAAAGCTTGATTCTTTTATATATGTGATGTAAAATAGACTGGTTTCTTAATAAAGTGCTGCTACTTTGTTTTCAAGTTTTTCATGTTTGTGTGCATTGGAACAACAGGGGATGTTCTATCTGGAAAGAAAAGTGGAGATGAAGTGCATTTGGGAATTTTGCAACAGTGGTTTGGGATTCAATGGTGGAATTCTAGGGAAGTTGCTCTTCTCATCACCTTGGTTCTTGTTATGTTTCCATTGGTCTTGTACAAAAGTGTAGGTCAGTGTTTCCAATTACTAACATGCACTTGTTTCTTTTCGAATTGATGAGATTCGATGACATAGATTCGTGATATTTGTTATTCTTTTTGTGTTGTGTTGTTTTGAAATTTGTCAGAATCCTTGAAGTACAGTTCTGCAATATCAACTCTTCTTGCTGTGGCATTTGTTGTCATTTGTTCTGGAATGGCAATTGTTGCTTTGGTGCAAGGAAAAACACAAACTCCTAAATTGGTTCCTCGGTTAGACTATCGGACATCTTTCTTTGATTTGTTCACTGCAGTTCCTGTTATAGTTATAGCCTTCGCATTTCATTTCAATGGTACTAATTTAATTGCATTTTGCATTATTTGGTGTGGATAAGGGTTTTCTCTTTTTTTTTTTTTTGTGCTGATGAGTCATTTTGCTTTATTTGCAGTGCATCCTATTGGATTTGAGCTCGCAAATCCATCTGATATGAAAACAGCAGTTCGATTAGCAATAATCTTTTGTGTTGTTATCTACTTTATAATTGGTTTATTTGGCTACCTCTTATTTGGAGATTCAATACAATCAGACATTTTAGTCAATTTTGATCAGAATGCTGATACTGCTGTTGGTTCATTCTTCAATAGTTTAATTCGTATAAGCTATGCATTCCACATTATGCTAGTATTCCCTGTTGTGAATTTCTCTTTAAGGACCAACATTTATGAACTCTTCTTCCCCAAGAAGTCTTTACTAGCCACAGACACAGACAACAAGAGATTTGTGATTCTCACTCTCGTAATCTTAATATTCTCCTATCTTGCTGCTATAGCAATACCAGATATTTGGTATTTCTTTCAGTTTCTAGGATCAACAACTGCATTGTGCCTTAGCTTTATTTTCCCTGGCATTATAGTTTTAAGGTAACCTATTTCCATAATCTTATTAGTTATTATAACAAATTGGAAAGGAATATAAGTCATAATCCTATGTTCTTTGTTTCATATGACAGGGATGCTCTTGGAATATCAACAAGAAAGGACAAAATAATAGCACTTGTTATGATTATACTTGCTCTAGTGACAAGTGCAATTGCAATTTCCACCAACATATACCATGCTTTAGGTAGCAAGTCATAGTTGGCGCTCTCTTTGATTTTTTATGAAGCTTTGTTGTCTTATAAATTGTAATTTGATGTTCTGATTGAAAGGTAGCATTCGACTGTGTCGAAGTAGCTAGTCGAAGTTCAAGAGTCAGTTGTATTCGACAGAGTCGAATACAACATATAGTAGTGTTGAAATGTAACTTGTAATTTTGTATTTTAAATTTTGTACGTTTTGGCTTGGGTTGATTTGTATAATTTGGGTTTGGGTTTTTAGTTGCCTATATAAAGGGCTTTATATGATGTGAACAATGAACTTCACTCAATCCAAATTTTTATAATTGAATTTACAATTTTCTATCTTTTCTCTCTTCTTGTTTCATCTTTCTTGTAAACTCTTTGGATTAAGCCATGAATGTTTCAATTTGGTTAGTAGCCATGAAAGAACTCAGATCAATCGAGAAGAACAAGACCTGAGAGCTTGTTGAAAATTTAGTCAAGAAGTCAATTGATGTGAAATGGGTTTACAAGCTGAAACGAAGACCTAATGGCGAAAGCATAAGTTAAGACTAGTGGCGAGAGGTTTTCTGCAAAAACCTGTTATTGAATTCGACGAAGTGTATGCACCTGTTGCAAGACTAGAGACAATCAAAATTGTTATGTCGACAACATCATACATAGGGTGGAAGATACATCAGTTGGATGTATAATCAACATTTCTGAATGGAACTCTGAAAGAAGAATTCTATATTAGTCAACCACCATGATTCGAAATCAAAAAGCAGGAGTCGAATGTGTAGAGATTGGGGAATCTTCACTATGGTTTGAAGCAAACTCCATGAGTTTGGATAAGAGAATAGACAACTTCATGATCGAAGAAGGTTTCACAAACTGTGTCTCTAAACATGAAGTGTATGTCAATGATGCAGACATGGTCAGTCGAATCATCATATGCTTGTATGTAGATGATTTGTTGATTACAAGTGCAAATGAAATTGTTAGAACAAGATTTGGTTTTGCACATTATCTCTAAGGTTTGATAATAACAAAGTAGTACTTATGTGAGAACAATTTTGGTACTCTAACGTTTGTTATTTTGAAGTTTCAACAAACAGGTTCTGACTCTATCTGGTTTGACCAAAAGTCGCTTCTGCGCCAAAGAAGCAAGTCTACTTCTGATCTACTCACATTCAAAAAGATTCTAAGAAGACAATATGTTGTTGCTGCAATGTTCTCTTGGATTCTGCCTCTGAGCGTGACTTTGATGATTTACTTTTGAAGGCTTTCTAGCTTCTGAAGTTGTTATCTTCTGAAGACTAAGTGTTGAAGACTCATAAGATAAGGTTCTGCTAAACAAAGTTCTGAAGATTTTGAAGACTTGAGTTTCTGAAGACTAAGTACTAAAAACTCTGAAAACAAGGTTCTGCTGAATAAAGTTCTGAAGACCAAGGGTTCTGAAGACTGAGTGCTAAAGGTTCTGAAGACAAGCTTATAGTGAACAGGTTCTGAAGACTCTAAAGACCCAGTGATCAATTCTTGTATGCATGCTTCAATCATCTCTATTCAGAAGCCTCTGATGTATAGAAGATAAGATCAAAAGTTTACGAGGAAAAATAGTACGTAGTACGTATCAAAACGTTCCATTCCACTACCCTGATTTGGTGGTACAAATGACAACTTTTGTGTATGATTTTCATCCTTGTGTAACGACATTCTTTCAAGTCGTCAGCTCTCTCAAGGATATTCTTGATCTGCCTTCCAACAAATCTTTTTTTGCCTATATAAGGACTTGATTACTTGAAGAAAGAGAAGAATAGTAGTGAAGCCCTACAACACAACGCAAGAATAATATTCATATTGTGCAAATTTTCTTTAAGTCAGTTGTGATATTCATTGTGTTCATATCTGCTTGTGTATAAGCAATTCATTATAAACATTTATTTTTCAAACAGTTGTTTGTAATTCCTTAAGGGACCAGTTAGGTTAGAATCCTTAAGAAGAGATAGTTAGTCTTTGTTGTTAGTCACCAACAGTTGCTAGTGCAAATTGTAATCAGTTGATTATAGTGGATTAAGTCCTCGTGTATAAAGGCGAAATCACCTTGGCGGGTGGACTGGATTAGCTTGATAGTTTTCAAGTGAACCGGGATATATCATGTGTCTTTCTCTCTTGTTAGTATCTTTGTGACTTTTGTTTGAGTTTCACAAAAAAAACTTTCATTTTTGAAAATCCAATTCAAACTCCCCTTTCTTGTGTTTTCTCACACCTTCAATTCGAATCAAAGCTCCGGTTCTGATTGTGATAAAAGTTTTATCAACACTTCACCGTGTTTAGTACCGATCCAGTATTACTGTGAGATATCATGGTTGCTACTGCTGTTAATCCTATTCCATAAGAGAAAGATCACTATAGTTCCAAACTACCAGTCTTTGATGGTGAAAAGTTTGACTACTAAAAAGATAGAATTGAAAGTTTCTTTATTGGTTACAACGTAGATCTTTGGGATCTTGTAGTTGATAGCTACACCACCCAGTTGATGCTGCAGGAGTAAAAGTGTCAAGAAGTGCTATGAAAAATCAACAAAAGAAAGAATACAAGAATCATCAGAAGGCAATAACTATATTGCTGAATGCTATTTCTTATCCCGAGTATGAGAAAATAACAAATAGAGAAACTGTCAAGTCCATTTTTGATTCACTTCAAATGACTCATGAAGTAAATGCTCAAGCAAAGGAAACAAAGGCTCTTTCCCTAATCCAGAATTATGAAACCTTCAAGATGGATGAAGATGAATCTGTGGAAACTATGTTTTCAAGATTTCAGATGCTGGTAGCAGGACTCAGAATGTTAAACAAAGGATATTCAATTGTTGATCATGTCAAGAAGATTATCAGAAGTCTTCTCAAGAAATGGAAACTTATGGTAACTGCTCTAAATCTATCCAAGGATCTGAATAGTATAAATCTTGAAGAACTTATTAGTTCTTTAAGAAGTAACGAGATCGAGATGGAGGAAGATGAACCTCAGAAGAAGAGTGAATATATTGCTCTTAAGTCTAAACTGAAAAGGCAAAGGCTTATAAAGCTGAGGAACAATCAGAAGATTCTAATGAAGACTCAGAAGATGAGTTATCACTTATCTCCAGAAGGATCAACAAACTCTGGAAACATAGGCAAGAGAAGTTCAGAGGATCAAGAAGGAATAATGGTCGTTCTAACTCATCATCTAGACAGAAGAAGCAGAGTTCTGGAAAAGAAGTCATCTGCTATGAGTGTAATGTGTCTGGTCATTAAAAAAACAAGTGTCCAAAGTTTAAGAAAGACAAGAAGCCTAAGAAGAAATTCGCCAAAGTTAAGAAGGGACTCATGGAAACTTGGGATGACTCTGATTCCGAAGAAGAAGAATCTGATGAAGAACAGGCAAATGTTGCACTAATGGCAACAACAATTAACGCTGAAGTCTCTGGAGAACCAGAAGACAAAATTCTATCAGAACTAGAATCAGACTCTGACTCTGACTCAGAGGTATTATCTAAACTCTCTCGTTGTGAATTAGAGTCATGTCTTTCAGAAATGATGGAAAGATATCAAACTCTTTAAAGTAAATACAAGGATCTTAAAAAATACCATGTAATTACTTTTGAAGTTAGAGATAGGCTTGAACAGAATAATTCTTCTCTGAATGAAAATATTTTTCTATAAGAAATAGTAAATGTGCTTTTAAAAGCAAAATTTATAAATTAGAAGAAGAATTAGTCTCTAATATCTCTAACACTAATTGTGTCAACAAGTATGATAGAGCATTCCAACACTTTCTGGCTAAAAGCATAGATAGAAGCAATATAGCTTCCATGATCTATGGAGTTAGCAAAAATGGTAAGAAAGTTTTAGGGTGTAGAGAAACATTTGAAAATGACGAAAGTCAACCTGTAAAACCAAAACCTCTCTATGATCATTTCGTGCCTTATGGTACTAAGCTTGATTATTCTGAGCCTGTGCAAGCACCTTCACAGACACAGAAATATGATCTTAAGCTAAAGTATCATGCACAAATTCCACTTGATTATCCTGTTGCACGGAAACCCAAAGTTGTGAAAAACTCTGGGAAAACTAACAAAAGAGGACCCAGAAAGTGGGTACCTAAGGATAAGATAATCTATGTTGTAGATATCCTTAGCAGCTCAGTTGAAACACCAATCATGGTATCTGGACATTGGTTGCTCGCGACACATGACAGAAAGAAGGCCTATGCTTCAAAGTTTGGAACTTAATCTTGGAGGCTACATTGGTTTCGGAGGAAACCAAAAGGGTAAGATCATTGGCTCTGGAACTGTTGGTAATGGTAAACTTCCTTCTATTATTGATGTTCTTCTGGTCGATGGCTTGATGAATAACTTATTGTCAATTAGAGAACTTAGTGACAATGGTTATGATATCATTGTCAATCAAAATTCCTATAAGACTCTTAGTCAGAAGGATGGCTCAATCCTTTTTAACAGAAAGAGGAAAAACAACATTTATAAAATCATACTTTTTGATCTTAAGGACCAGAATGTTAAATGCCTAATGTCTGTTAATGAGGAGCAATGGGTATGGCATAGACGTTTGGGCCATGTTAGCATGAGAAAGACTTCTCAGAGAAATAAGCTTGGATTAGTCAGAGGCTTACCAAATCTGAAGTACTCTTCAGATGCTCTTTGTGAAGCATGTCAGAAAGGTAGTTTTCCAAAACCTTTTTTAGAGCAAACAATGTTGTTTCTACCTCTAGACCATTAGAACTTCTGCACATTGATCTTTTTGGTCTAGTGAAAACTGCCTCAATCAATGGTAAGAAATATGGATTAGTCATCGTAGAAGATTATAGTTGTTGGGCATGGGTAAAATTCTTAAAACAAAAGGATGAGTCACATTCTGCATTCTCTACCTTTTGCTCACAAGTGTAAACAGAAAAGGATTGCAAAATTGTCAGAGTCATAAGCAATCGTGGTTGAGAATTCGAGAACAGATACTTTGAGAATCTTTTTTATTCCCGTGGCAT